AATTTAAAGTAAAATAAAGATTTCTAATATTAAGAATGCTATTCCTAATTTGATTAGTGTTTTTATAAATTTTTTATTTAAAATTAATAAAAAAAAACTATATAGAGCAGCAAGATACTTTTTCTTTCATTAGTGTTTTTATAGATTTTTCATTTAAAATTAATGAAGAACTATATAGAGAAACAATCTTCTAAGTTATCAACCTAGGGATCTCAGCTCCCAACCCCATCTCAATATCTTTGCATGAAACTCAAGGACATGCATTAATTTCTTTGAAAATTTTTTTACCATAAATGATCATGATGGTAAGTAAACTTTTTCAAAGAATATTTTCTGACTCTGAATCTATCGTAAATCAGATGCTGCAATGTTTTTACATGCAAAACAAATAATTTGAGGTGAAGAATTAATACTCACATGAAGGCAGGTGAGTGATTAAACTTGACTGGAGAACGAACGAGCGAATTAATCGCACTTGGGACAGAAGATGGCTTAGTCTGCTGGCTAGTAACCATCACCACAACAGCAGTTATTGCTGCGGCCAACAGTAGCACCCTTAAAGCCACATCCAACGCAAAGCAGTCCGTCCAGCAAGGAGAAGGCGCTGGTCGTGGAGGAGGAGGAGGAGGAGGGACTTCAGGGTCAGTTGGCTTATCAGTGGATGCCATGATTAACACTATGTTTTGGTGGATAAGAACAAGCTGGATATTGGAGGGTATATATATGAAGAAGGGGTGTAGAAAATAGTAAAAGTAGGAATTTCCCACACGCCAAGTAATAATTCTTAATTGAATTAATTTAAAGGGCTTTTCCAGGTTTTTTCTAAAGTTGAGAAATCTTTCTGACAAAAATATTTTTGTTTATTTATAAATTTATAATTTATATATTAGAATCCGATGTGGACATGGAAAAAGAGGAGAGGGGGGATTTTTCCAGCTGTTTTTTTATCTTCAAGATTCTGATTTTGTTTGATTATGAAGATAGTTGGGAAGTATAGTTGGGAAGTTTTGCTAACCTGATAATTATATTAATATGGTTTTTTAATTTGTGCTTTAAGTGTGTATTTATTATATATTTTTATTATTAATTTATATAAAAAAATTGTGAAATCAAATTTTATTTTCAATACTAATATTATATAAAATATTTTAATAAAACAATTAATAAAATTAAAGTTAACTTTTATTTTTTTTCATATATATTAATAATAAAAAGTGTAATAATTATACTGTGCCTTAAGTTAGAAAATTTCAATTTGTATTCAACATTTGTTACCAAGCTTTAACTTTTTTAATAAATTGGAAATTTTGAGAGTGGAAAAGATCTGGAAGCAAACCGTGGGATTAATCAAGCTTGTGTAAATTTTCAACTCTCATATTAGAGAGAGAAGGTATGAATTTTTCATTTTACAAATCCTTAATTTTCTGCCAATATTAAGGTTTGAGCTTGATATTTTCAAATTAGAATTGTTACACTTTAACTATTAGGACATATCTATATATTAATGACTCATGCGTCCCTCTAAATTCAAAAAGTCCTTTTCGACCTGGCCCCTGCCTTAACGTATTGCTTCTATGGTTATCTAACTCAAGCCTGTTTATTAGTAACTCATGTGTCCCTCTAAATTCAAAGAGTCCTTTTCGACCTGGCCCCTCCTTTAACGTGTTACTTCTTTGGTTAATTAACTCAAGCGTATATACCAGCTTCTGCGAAGGTTCTGTTGGGGTTGGTGTCATGATAAAAAGAAAAAACCTAACATTCAAGACTAAAATCATATATGTTTTCATATCAATCAACAGAACCTTCAAGAAATTCAAAGGAGTACTAGGTGAAGGAGATAAACATGAGTGTTAATCTGAAAATGCTTCATATTTTCTTTAAATGAATATATATATGGGAACAAGTCCAAATTAATATGATCTTTTCATTGGTTATAGAAGAAAGTGAAAGAATTTGATTTCCCCTTTGAATATATGCCTATGTATGTGCCTTGAAATTCATAGGATTAATTGCATGAAAGAAAGTTTGGAAATTTTAACAAAATCTTAATGCTATAGTTATAGTATTATATAAAATTATAAATTTATAATTATGATATATTATTAAATAAGTAAATATATATAATATCATGAACGCACCCTTAAATGAAAAGAATAAACTATAAAGAGCCCATGAGTAAAGTAAGTGATAACTCCTTTTATAGATGTTTCTTTAACCTAAAAATCCCCTACATATTACCCTTGTTCAATAAAAAAAAAAAGAGAGAGAAAGAGAGAAAAAAAAATTATATAACATCATATCATATTGTAAATTTACAAGTCACCTGATATTATATAATTATATCATTTCGATTTGAACAGGGTGTATGATAAGAACAAAAATTCTTCTAAATGTTTTTAATCAATCTACCAACCCAACCTGCATAGTTCCTTGCTCATAGTCAAAACCTAATCCCTTGATAATTTCTCCGAAACCAAGTGAGCAATGGGTAAACTCAACCTTAAACAAATTAGGACATGACAACTAGGAACACCAAACTGAAAAATTCCTCTGATTTATCCGCTCTCTCAACTTCCCGAACTCATTTTCTGTGTGCCTGAAAAGCTACTAAATCAACGGCGCTAACTATTCTTTTGATTCCAATTACAAGTTATAAGTCGTAGTGGTAATAAATGATTTAATTTAATTTTTTTAAGAGAATGATGTAACAAAGCTCACACTACTTTCTTTTTAATCATTGATAAAAAATAATTTTTTAATATCAACGGGTGCGCCATTTCAATCAACAATTAAGTGCTGTCTATACCATATAAACTATACTTTATTTATTATATTTGTTTTTTTGTTAACATGTGAAACAAATGACATATTAGTTCAACAATCCGTTTCGATTTAGTAACATAAACCTTGAATTAAGATTATTCATCTTTTATAAATGATGTTTGAATCTCACAAAACTTTTTTTTTTCCCTAATTAATATATTCAAATGATATCTTAGCTAACTAGCTAAGGCACGTGATCTGTAGAAAACAACCTTTCTTCTACATGGTGCAGCCGTCAGAAATAAGTATATACTAAGATGTCATTGCTTAATATAATCATCGTATATTGTTTCTAGTGTTTCTAGAATCTTTCTCAGGAATATAGTTCTTGAAAAGATATTTTATCTTATCACAAGGTTTCTTCACTTTCAAGTCTTTAATTGTTGTTGGCCAAAAGAGAAAAAGGGTCTTTACTTTGTTGTTGTATACAAATATATTTCATCACTTATCTCCAAATTTCAATTCAATCTTCCTCATCATCATCAAGTTTCTCTTTCTTGAAATTTCTATTATATTCAAGAATTTTGATCAATTAACTCTCTCTTAAGCCTTTTTTTTATTCAAGAGATAAACTTAATTGAAAAAGATTACATAGAAGTTTCAATGAAATGCATCGTACTGGGGAAGTTTAATTTGCAAGGAAAAGATAGGGAAACGTGGAAAGAGAGAGAGAAATAAGAGGTGAGAACTAGAGTAGGGATTACTAAACTTTTGATTTTTCTTTTTTCCTTTTTTACTAATTAAGGGAACATGAAATATATATTTTTTATTTTTAAATAATATAAAAGAAGATAATCCTTTTATCTTTTTATTCAAATCACTCTCTATCCAAGTCACCCTCATATTTAGACTCATAATATCTTATTTTCACAAAAAAATAATCATTAGAGTCACTTAAATCATTAGCAATACCTTAACATGTAAATATTAATGGTAATCAATTTTCTTTTAATAGAATTAAGAAATCTTGAATTTAAATCACATAATATACAAATATAGTAAGTTAAGAAATGAGAAAGGATCACTACTCATTATATAATTCAAGATAACAAAAAAATCATTAACAATACATGAAATATTTTGTATTAACTTGTTTAGTTTAATTAAATTAAATTCATATAGATCCAATATGCAGTGCTAAAAATTTAGAATAGACATTAAATTAACCTTTATTGCAGTTGTTAAGAAGTTGTTTATTCTCAAATATTGCACTTAAAATTTGGAATGGAAATTGAATTAGAAAAAAAAAAAAAAAATCCGTCCCAAAAAGTGGGGAAATCGTGTATGAATATGATCGTGAGAGTACACATGGCATACAGGTCGGTCCTGGGCCTAAGGCGGGTCGGTACTTGGCACGAGTAGCCCACATTCCGAGTTTGGGACTGGTCCCGCAGGTCTCCAGCCCAAGACTGGTATCCTGGGCTGAGTTTGACCTTGACAATCTTGAGCGCTCCCGAGTCCACAGGCTCAACCCTTTTGTCCAGTATAAAAGCATGTGGCCCATATATGTGAAGAATAAAGCCACTTATTGTTTGGAGGTGTTATGTTGTGCAAAACTATAATTGTAAATTAACGTGGCCTTTTTTTTTTTTTTATTTAAAATATATAAAATATTAATTAAAATTAATTAAAAATAATAAATTTTTATTTTTAAGTAAGATATTGTCTGACAAAATATGTGTATATCATTTCCAATCCAAACTAAAGACTCAAAGCAAAGAAACTTACAGCATTTTCTGACAGAAAATAAGGTCAAGGTTACAGATAATTTTGAGTATTATAATTTATCCTTAATAAAAAAAATATTTTATGTTAATTTGGAGGCTTTTTTATTTTTTTTATAAGGACAATAGTTAGTAAGTTAGTATTGTTAGAAGTTAACAACTAGAATTTGATTTCCAGATTTAGTAAACAGTTCACCGACCTCAATAAGGCACGCAGCCATCGGATCACTTTGGTGGAGTTCGTCAATTTGGAGGCTACTACCACATCATTTGAAGCCCTACTAGCCACATGTCAGAAAAGTGGGTTTGGAGGGGGGAGGGCACCTTTCCTTTTCGACCGCCAAAATCTAGATAAGAGTAAAATTAATGATATTTAATTACTTGACTTCAAGGTATCATAGGGGTTGTTTGTTACAGATGAGGTGTGCTTGCTGAATTTTGGTGAATGGACGGTGGAATAGATGGTTTTGGTTGTGAAATGTGAGCTTGGCTTGGGGAGGCCTTGTTGCTGTGGGGCGGTGTGTTTCAATGGGCTAGGTTGGGGTGGTGCATGGTTGGTTTTTTGGGAGGACTAATTGGCATCTTATGTGAAGGTCTGTGTGGAGATAGATTTAATTTTGGAGCGGGTTAAGAATTCAAGGCTAAATTGGAGTTTGTGTGTGAGAATTGTGTAATTTGTCACCAATTCATAGTATGCTCTCTTTGGAAAGAACCATGCAATTGGTTCTCTATAGAATATGGAGGTGTCTAAATATAAAAGATATTTTTATTGGTGTTCAAAGTTCACGTCATAGGCAAACTGAGAGGTTCGGCTCAATGTTGTTTGCTCATAGTTTTCTTTGAAATGGAAGCTGTCACCACAAGTTGGAAATATGGTGGGATAGGTTTAACGCCCTATTATATTAGTTAAGCTATTATAGTATTAGGTGTGATGTAGTAGCATAACTAATATTAGAGAAATAGGAGAGATAGCTAGAACTATTTATGAGTTTTGTTTTTTAGTTTTTTTTTTTTAGTATATTAATTAGTGTTCATGTTACTTTACATCTAAATTGATATATTACTTGTGACAAATGATAACATTTAGGTATTATATTGTCTCTTTAGAAGTAGAGATTATTTTATATTTAGTTTATTTATTAATAAAAAGGCATATCACCATTTTCTTCTAAAACAAATACATACTTGACTACCATAAAAAATAATACATACTTGACTATATTTTCTTAACCAAGGGGAATGTGGAGATGAAAAAACACAAATAATTAAAAACTAAAAACTAAAAATAAAATAATTAATTATTTTAAATAAAAGAGTTCTATTTATTTTAAGTGCTATTGAAAATTGTTTAACAATATTCTCCATAGGAAATAGTTTTTAAGGACGTTCATATGATCAATTATGATGGTTGAGACTTAATGAGAGTATTGAATTTGTTATAAAGTAAAGATGGAGATAAGATGTAAACGCCAATCACGAACTCAAGACTTAAATTCTTTTTCTCCTTCAAGCACACCATGCATCCATCCAGTCATCTACTAATTACTAAATTTAGTGGTCCATACTTCATACAAGATTGCCTTTGCCACCACCTGAACTCTATATACAGGTAGTGACATTTTAATTTTAATTTAGAGGATTAAAAAGAAGTTTTAAAAGATAAAATCTTAGTGAACATGATCCAGATAACAACGAAATTTGAAAATAAATGAAAGTTTTGAAATTTTGCACCCCTCCCCCACTCCGCCCTTCGACCTATACTATCTTCCGTCCTGACCTTTACGGTAAGAGCTATATATAGCATCTAGGGGAAGGGGACCCTTTGACGTAAACCCTTTGTTGACATGATCATAATTGAGACTTTTTATTACCATCATTGTTATTAACGAAACTAAAATTAATGTTTATTTTCTGTAATCATTGTTCTTGTGTTTTTGGTAGGTAGAATTGAATCTTTAATTTGTAGTTAGGAGTATAAGTAAGTTTATTTTTAAACTATATGATTAATGGTGTAATTATCGTCATTGTAATGAAACATAAAGGTTCTATCCTTAAAATGTTCTGAATGCTTTTATATTTATGTAGACTGTTAGCTATTTAATATAGTAGATTTAAAATCTGACTTAAACTCAAAATTCAAGTTTTTTACTTAATGGATACTAACTTGATCAAGTTCTATTTAGTTGATGAATATTTCTAATTAAATCTAGAAGAAAATTAAGAAAAAGACTTTAGTGGATTTTTTTAAAAAAAATTAAAGGTATTTAAGATATTTTATATAATTTTACAAGACAAAATACCAAAAATACAAAATTTGGATAATTATTTACTCTTTAGAAGCCTCATAATAGAATTATTATATGCATCTATTTGAAAACACATGTTAGTTATTTGTAAATGGAGAGTGAGCAAGAGATTTAATTTTCTCTTCAACTAATCATATTTCTATGTGAAACTAGTTGTGTAGTTTGATCTCTAAACTGTTCATTTTATTCTAAAATTTTGAGTTTACTTCTATATCCTTCAATTAATGAGTTTTCGAAAACATTATTCTCATTTCTCACCAATTTTTCATATGCATGGGTAAAAGAGTCTATATACATATATGTGTTATGTGTGTATTTGGTATGACATTAACAGTACTTTAATATAATATGACCTCTCAATCCCCTTCTAACTCCCCCAACTTTCTCAATATAATTTATTACCTTTTTCCTACTTTAAACCATCCTTTTTTTCATTCCCTCAATTGAGCAAAAAGTTTCTTGGGATTCTTGGAAAACATGGAGACACAAAAGAGCAATATTGTTGCCAAACAGGGAATGACAACAAGCTTGTTTCTAAGGTTTATGGCTTTTGTGCTAACTCTTGCAGCTGCCATACTTATGGGAGTGAATAATCAGACCAAAGTTGTCTCACTCCAAACCATCTCGACAAGCTTGCCTGCTCTCAATATCCCTGTTCAAGCTAAGTGGCACTATTTGTCTGCTCTTGTGTAAGTTCATTAATTATTTCCTTTATTTTGGTAGCTTGGAGTTTCTATTTGTTTTTAGTGATAAAAATGTAGAGTGAGTTGTTTTTCTTTCGGTTTTCTCTATTTGTATTCCCCTATTCTAATTTTTTTTTTTAACAAAAAAATCGTTTTATTGAAAAGTTTAATAAGTTCATGATTGAAGATTCAAGAAAGTTTCAATCTTGTATGTTTCCCCTTATGTGAGTTATTATCAAACTTCTTTTATTTTAGAATAATAGATGTTTTTTATTTTTAAAATTTATTTAAGAATATTAGTGTTTTTTTTTATTTTAAAAGAGATAGATATTTTTTCTTATTTTAACCTTATAATTATTTCTCAACTTTAATTATCTATCTTCTTATTAAAAAATTTTTTTATTTTTATTTATTTTTTTAAGGATAAGATAAGCAAAAATAAAAATTATCTTTGAATTTTTAATATGAAGACAAAATAAAAAAACATATATTATTCTAAAACGAAGAGAGTACTAAAAATCGTGTCTAACTAGTTAAAAGTTTTTTATAAGAGCTTAATTTCCAAAAGTACTAGAATATGAAATTATGCATACTTGTTAGGGGTAATTTTCAAAATTGTAAAAAAGAAAAAAGAAAAAAAAATTACTCGAATCTATTTGCAATACTCCTTTTTAATTAGAAACTTTATATTTGGAGATTAAAAGATTACTCAAAAGTCAAAAGTCTATGTGCAAAGC